ATAAACCAGTAACAGTGAGATGTTCTAGAGTCTCTTATTGTCTCTTCATTACAGTAATAACAGTAAAATAACATGTCAGAATAAATGTGTGTAATGAATCCTCATATAGACAGAAAGATCAGTGTGTGTGTGTGTGTGAGTCACGGTGAGTGACGGTGTGTATCTGTGCTTTTCTCAAACTATATTCAGTTCTTATTGTACTGTCACAGAAATCATTTGTATTATCACTATCAAAATTACCTTTCAATGAAATGTATCATTCTATAAAACATGTTATTTGTTGTAAAATTGATAAATGTCAATTTATTGATAAATGTGAAATATATAAACCCAGATCATCTGATCATACTGTAAACACTTGATCAATTATTGTAATATAATCCAGTTTACTTTAAATAAACCTGAACAGAACTGCATTTACACACCTGGTGTTATTGTTAACATGTCTCATCTTGAAATATGATTTTGCTCATATTGCCAATCCCACAATGACACATAATATGAACTTTTCTTTATTAAATTCATACACTGTTTTAACATGTATTTTTAACTTGTAACAACATTTGTAGCTATTTGCATATTAATACTGTAATATCTGATATAAATGGTTTCTGCACACAAACATTACAGTTTTGCCTATTAGACAGAATCTCATACTCTCTCATTGCCAGTTATTAATATTTTCTTGGATGCAAAAGAAAAACGCATCGTGTGAACAGGACTTTTATTTTGGTCTGGTGTGTGACGTCATCAGGCTGCGCCGCGCTCCCGCGTCTGTCGTGATTCGCTGCAGAAAGGTTCGAGTTTTTACACATTTAAAGTGTTTAAATCAATAAAACCGTTCAGTCAATTCAACTGTTTTTATACGAGCTATGAACAATAAATGATCCATTCTTGAAACATTGCAATGCTTTATTTAACAATATGATGAGCGTTATTTTGGGGAGTAAATCGCATTCCCTCACGAGTAACAGAAAAGGAGCGTCGCCAGCAACACACTACACACCAGTTACGTCATTTACTCGTACTTTCTGGTAATTTCATGATTTATCAACTGACAGTGTAGTCTCGACGTCACATGTCTGTAATTTCATTACCATTAAATGACCAACTGAACGTCGTCAGACACAAGACATTACTACAATCTCATTTATAAAGTCACCTTTATTTATCACACTTTTTACAATACAGTGTTTCAAAGCAGCTTTACAGAGATAACAGGAAAATGCAGTTTGGCGGCAATTCTAGAATATTATACGGCAGACGGACACAATAAAGTGCATGCGCAAAGTATACGCATGTGCGCACGCGCAATTCATTGCAATCAATTCCGGCGATGGATTCGATAGCAGTAAGTCAATAAGCATTATTTATGCTGTTTTAACAATTGTGCTTTTGTGTTAACGGCTTTTAATTGTGAGATGCCATAGAGCGCGTCATAAATGTTTTAGATTTAAAAATAACAAGTAATGATATGTTTTATGATGTTATATTATCAAAATGACCGGGTTTCAGCGAGTCTTAAAATGATATGTAGAAGTCTTAATTCGCCTTTAAACAAATTAAGCCTTGAAAGATGTTTTCAAATAGAGCAGAAAGACTTAAATTAATTAATTCATGTAGTTGATTGTTGCATCCATTGCAAAATAATTGTTGTTCAGTATCAGATCGTACTGTAAAAGTTACATTCCTGAATGTAGTGAATATACTGTAAGTTAGTTATTGAACATTGTATTTTGCTAAAATAAAATTCTTTGTGATTCTCCTTAGTTGTTTTTATCATTTAGATAGCATAATAATGTATTGAGTTCCCTTTAGATTTATTCAATACATTTTCGTTACTCTTAAAAAGGTATTTAAGGAAATCTTAAATTGACCCTCATGTGACTGTACCATGTAAGTACACTGTTAGTACAGTTGCACAGGGTTGGGTTTTGCATAATACACAGTAAGTTATGACCGTTTTACACTTTATATTAAGTGGACAGTTCCTGAGGAGTTACCATGTTAGTACACTGTTAGTACAGTTGCACACAGGTTTGGGTTTTGCATAATACACAGTAAGTTATGACCGTTTTACACTTTATATTAAGTGGACAGTTCCCGAGGAGTTACCATGTTAGTACACTGTTAGTACAGTTGCACACAGGTTTGGGTTTTGCATAATACACAGTAAGTTATGACCGTTTTACACTTTATATTAAGTGGACAGTTCCTGAGGAGTTATCATGTAAGTACACTGTTAGTACAGTTGCACACAGGTTTGGGTTTTGCATAATACACAGTAAGTTATGACCGTTTTACACTTTATATTAAGTGGACAGTTCCTGAGGAGTTACCATGTTAGTACACTGTTAGTACAGTTGCACACAGGTTTGGGTTTTGCATAATACACAGTAAGTTATGACCGTTTTACACTTTATATTAAGTGGACAGTTCCTGAGGATTTACCATGTTAGTACACTGTTAGTACAGTTGCACAAAGGTTTGGGTTTTGCATAATACATGTAAGTTATGACAGTTTAACACATTGTATCAAGTGCAGAGTTCCTGAGGAATTACCATGTAAGAACACTGGTACCACAAGGGAAAACTTTAGCTGTAATTCAACATAAGTCCTGCCGGTCATATAGTAAATACATGGTATACACATAGGAATCATCATGGTTTCAGTGTGTTCTTAACTGGTAACTACAGTATGGAAGACTGCGTGTGGAAGTGGAACAACTTGTGTGAATACATATTGTTGTTACAAAATGTAGTTACATAATGCCTGTTACACATGTGTACTTACTGTAGTGGAAAAAGTGTTGTTACCAATGTCCTGTTACACATTTGTACTTACACATACCTTTCCGTGGGTTGTTACATATGTGTAGTTACACAAATATTACAGTTGTAAATACTATGTACCAATGTGTATTTACACTGTAGTTACATACTAAGTACATATCTAGTAACCATGTAAGTTCACAGGTATTAGGGCCACTTAATATAAAGTGGGACCAAGTAATCAATGCAGCTCATGTTGTGACAAATATCACTGTCCATTCTGTGAGACCTGGGTTTACAAACCAAAGGATTTTAACAGTGTTGTCAAACATGTGGAGCATCATCTGCAGACAGCTATACGGGAAGATGGTTTGTGAAGTGCTTTAACATCCATACAACATATTATTTTGTTATTATATTTGCATCTTACAATGGTTTTGCTTACCTTTTTTAGATTTCATTATCATCAGGTGCAACCTAATGCAGAGATAATTCACATTTTCATTGCTCATACTGTTCCACCACTGTTTTACGTAAAGCACAATTAGAAATTCACCTCTCAAATTGCAAACAAAAGATTCAATCTCTGCAAAAAACAGCAGCACCAACGGTTCTGATTGGTAATGCACCTCAACCCTCAGGGTCTGCTCAGCACCCCTACTTCAACTGCAACCTCAGCCTTTACCAAGCGGACCACACACGTCTGTGTCTCCTACATCCTTTACTCCACTGTCTCAACCTCAAGTATTTAAGGTAGCATCACTTCCATCTTCTCTGAGTATTCATACACCTCAACCCTCAGGGTCTGCTCAGACAGCACCCCTACTTCAACTGCAACCTCAGCCTTTACCAAGTGGACCACACACGTCTGTGTCTCCTAAAGATCATGTCCCAAGTGGTTCAAAACGAATCAGAGTGAAATGTATTCACTGTGGAATTGAACTTAACAAGAAGAACCTACGCCTCCACATTCAAAGAAAACATACAGATGTGAAACAAACAATTACAAATGAACGACACTTCCTTAGCCAGTGCATTGACAGTGAGAATGGTATTTTTGCTGTTCAAAAATCTTTCTTTGGTCCTTCACTGCCAATACATGTGCAGAAGAGGGCATGGGGGGCAAACCACAGAATCATGTGTGAGGTAGACCAGTGTAACACAAACACTGACTTTGCATTTCGAAGTGGTTTGAAGGCATTTGAATGCAACCATATAAAATCCTTGGCTTTCTGTCCTCGGAGCACTGATGACACTATCACTCTAAATGAAGAAGAACTGATGGCGATGGTGCAACAAAAGTGGTTTGGTGAAGACAGAAAGAAGAAGTGTATTGAAAGGCAGAAGGCAGCAAGTATTATAGGTGTGCCACTCTCAGTGGAGGTGACAATTGCTGGACCCTCTTCCAAGAAATATATTTCAGTGTATGAACCCAAAACATCCTATTAGAGCCGGCTTGGAAGAGTGATTGTTGTGTTTGACTCCAAAAAATCACATGGAGTTGCCCATGTAACAAGACAAAACAGTCATGTGTGCACAAATCAATTGCTAAGTGGCACTTATTTCAAACTCAGAAGTCCCTTTTTAGAAAAGTAAGGACCACAGAAAGAACTGATCCTGTCCCGAGCTGTCAGCACCAAACAGAAGATGTACAAGATCAACAATACCCACCAAATGATGCAAGCTTAAAGAAAATGGTGTTTTATTTATTAAAAGAAAAAAGACTTCCTGCAGACCTTCCAAAGGAACTGATCAATGGCCTTCAACCTAAGTGTGAATTCCCACGCAGCCTAATTCCACAGGAGACTTTCTGCTCACAATGCAAGGGGAATCAGTTGCTAAGCGAGCCGATTCTCATAACATCCAGAGCGAAGATTTTGACCTTCACAGGAGTTGTGGAAGGTAAGTAAAATCTTTTTTTTTGTAAATAACAATGTTGGTAGTAACTGCAGTTTGAAAAGCAAAACCCTCTCTTTTAAGGGATTTCCACCTACTACAAAGTCTGCATCAATTGCAGAATGATGTTTCGTTATCAAGAGTTCACAGATGGGATCCATAATTTTAATGACCACAAGCTGATTTCTTTGCATTTATGCATGATTCTTCGTAATGCTATTCAGGTATGTTACCCATTATAGTACTGATAATGCTGCTGAAATAAATTATTGAAATTAGAAACATTAAATGTATTGCATTTGAAATCCTTTAACCTTAAGATTCCAATTTGCCTTTAAAATGTTTGATTT